ATCCTAACTTATAAAGTACACACATACCTTTGACTATTTAAACTCTAAAGCTAATTTTGTCACCACAATTTCTCAATGTCTAGTTTGTGATCATCAACTCAAATACTCATGGAGGCTAGAAAGGCACTGAAACACATCATACTGCTGTCTACAAGTCAGACTATTAGGCCACCAATTTGCTTTAAAATTTCTGGTATTAAAACTACTTGCTAGTAAAAAGTAATCTTAGAAATACTCAATTCTTTTGCAAGCCAGTAATACTGTTTGAACTTAGGACTCTGCACTTGCTCAGCTATTTTGCTCACAGCTGGAAGTTTACCACTTTAGTCATGCCTCCAGTCTGGCATTGTGCTGGTTAACTGAAAATGGAGTTTCAGACTTTCCTGCCCAGGCTGAAAGTCTCTGCCTCTTGAACAACTAGTATTAGAAGTATGTGCCACTGGCACTCAGGAACAAATATTCACAACTTATTTATGTACTTCACCATCATCTGTAGCAGTGTGACAAAAATGGGTGTGTGTGGGGGGGATCTCCATTTAGTAAGGAATAAATTTGTTAGGAAGAGGTTTTTAGTTACCACAAAACGAAAGAATTTAATTAACCTAGAAGAATTTTTGTTTGAAATATATTTTGGATATCCTGGTGACACAGCAGAGATAGGTAACACAAACAAACATTTTTTGTGTATTTCTTTATTGTTTGGAACACCAAAGTAACCCAAACTTCACATTTACAATGAATGTTTAATTTAAAAAAGCTGTACATTATATTAAAAATACATATTATACAAATTTTTGAAAAATAAACACAAATGCTTATACAGGCAAGAGATGAGCTGAATCACTAACCATCTTTAATAAACCTTTTTTAGATGACTAACAATCATAGAATGTTATCTTTAGCTTTTATGAAACCGCAACTTTTCTAGCTACTTTGGCCCATGAAGTCATAAATATGTATTTCTTTAAAATCAAATTATAATGAACTATGGTATACCTAGTAATTTTACTTTCAGATGACCAGTATTACTACAAGAATAGAAATCTCTAAAAGATAGAAACTTAGTTCCTTCCAAATCAGTATTGGAGGCTATCTGAGCCTAGCTCTAGAAATAGGTAGTCATTTCCAAGCTGACACCCACATTTAAATCAGATACAACAAACTATTAAACTGAATCATCCTTAATTAAGGCACCCTACTGCCTCTTCCCATTGCACTCAGGCAACCTGCTGTTCAGCCCTGATACTTAAAAATTATGACCCAAGAACTTAGTTCTAAGTCTCAGTGACAAATTTGCTTTCCAGTTTAACAAATTAAATATCATTAGTGGAAAGAGCTTAGGTATTGAATTTTACTGCACACATAAGCCAAATGATGGAATTTAGTATCTGGTCTAATCTAGTCTGAAAATATCTGAGGCGACTATGTCAAGATACATTTTTTTCCCTTAAAACATGTGCTCCTTATCTGCCAATAAGTAAGTTTAAAATGAATCACAGCAACAATAACATCACTTTGGAATTGACAAGCATATTCTCCTCTAAGTGCCTTAAGTATTACATGACATTTCTTACCTGTAATAGAACCCACTGTTGACTAAATGCCTACCCTTTGGGCAGGTATTTTGTGTTAGTCCACTGAATTATTGTGACATGCTGGTGTGTCAGGGTCACTTTCATTCCCCTTTAAGATGAGGAAAGGAGAGTTCACATCAACTTCTAAGCAACACTTCCTTTTATTAATTTAAAGAAAACACTGCAGCACTAAGAGGAAAAGTATAAGCATCTTATTCCCAAGCATTCCATGCTTGAATAATATCAGCCTCCACTGAATTACTGATCCTTTAGCACTGCAATGCAGTACTGAGATAACTAGGTTCCTTTATTAAAATGATAAAATTGTGAATAGTCTTTTGAACAAATTCTCCTTATTTGCTTACACATTGAAAAAAAAAAAGTCAGCCAGGTGCTAGTGGCTCACATCTGTAATCTCAGGTACTCAGAAGACAAGATTTGCAGCCAGTCTGGGAGGGAAAGTCCGAGAGACCCTTCTCTCTCCTAAGCCCCAAAAGGCAGAAGTGGAATTGTGGCTCAAGAGCCACAACAACAACAATAAAAGAAAAGAAAAAACACAAGGACAGAGCTCAGGCCCTGAGAAGCCCCAGGACTGGGGAAAAAAAAAAAAAAAAGTAAAATAAAATTTAAAATCTCATTTTGAAATGGGAGGCCCTAGTCCATTGCAGGTGTACACTGTGAGCAAAGCTCACCTTCTGGAATTGTGATACTGGAAGGATTTCAAACCTTTTACACATCTTTTGACAGATGACCGTGAGAAGACAGCAGCTAGTGGGTAAAAAGGACTGAAATGGTAATTACATTAAGAAACACTGATATCAAAGCCAGTATGAATAATGTCTAGTGGAGTATTTGTCCCTTCCCTAAAGACCTTGTTTTACTACAATTAAAAATCAGAGGAAGTACATTTTCATATTATGCTTTTCTCTTAAAGGTAGAATTTTTGTTTTATTCTTTTCATGATTTCTTTTGTGGTTTAAGGCAGGTCCTCAGGTAGTTCAGGCTGCACTCCAGCTAGAGCTTCTCCTGCCTTAACTTTCTAAATGCATGTGCTACTACACTATGTCCAGCTTGTTTCAAGACTGAAGGTACAGAAGACTACCATTCTGATAATTAAAACAAAACTGGTGTTTTAATTTAAAATATAATAATATAGCTTCATTTTTTTTGGGGGGGGGGGGGAGGGGTCCAGTCGTGGGGCCTGAACTCTGGGCATGGGCGCTGTCCCTCAGCTCTTCAGCTCAAGGCTAGTGCTCTACCACTTGAGCCACAGCACCACTTCTGGCTATTTTTCTTTTTGCTTATGTGGTGCTGAGGAATCAAACCTAGGGCTTCATGCATGAAGGCAAGCACTCTACCACTGAGCCACCTTCCCAGCCCCAATATAGCTTCATTTTTATCTTATGCCCAATTTAAAATTTCATGATTTGAAATAACCATCAGTTTATGTATTTTGTTTTAAAAGTTAGATAAAGAATCAGCAAAAGTGAAAATATCAACTCATGAAATACATGACCTTTCTCTCTCATGGACCTTCCCACCTACTGAGGAAAAGATGTACACCCAGCAAAATATTTCAGGTAACGAGAAATGTGAAAAAAGATTCAGTTTATTCCTTTAGCAATGGAGAGCTTACTAAATCAAACATATCGATATTTGAAGTCTGATTTTGTTTCAAATTTCAGCAGTACTAAGAAGTAAAGGGACAAGGTAGGTCTATTGTTAAATCAGAGAGAGGTACTTAATTGAACCAAGGCTATCTGAAATCAGTGGCTCTTAAATTCTTGTAGATCATGAAAACTTCCCAGCCATTCAATTTACTAAGCCCAGAGAAAAGCACAAACGTACATAATTTTGTCAGTAAATCTCAAGTGGCCTATTCATGGACCCTGTTCAATTAAAAATGTATCTATAACCGGCGGCATGTGTGGATAGAAGAGAACGAAAGAAACTGATCAGAAAATTCTACTGTACAACTATCAGGAATAAAGCTTTAAAAAATTGAAATTCAAAAGTGTTTGGGGGTTCCTTAGACCCTACTTCTCTATGATTCCATTATATAGCAACTCATTTTCCATTTTAACTACTGCTAAGTTACTTGTGATAATTTTTTTTATTTTTTGTCGGTCGTGGGGCTTGAACTCTGGGCCTGGGCGCTGTCCCTCAGCTCTTCAGCTCAAGGCGAGCGCTCTACCACTTGAGCTACAGCGCCACTTCCGGTTTTCTGTGGTTTATTGGAGATAGGAGTCTCACAGTCTCTCCTGCACGGGCTGGCTTTGAACCGCGATCCTCAGATCTCAGCCTACTGAGTAGCTAGGATTATAGGCGTGAGCCACCAGCGCCCGGCTTACTTGTGATAAATTTGAGCCCCAAATTCTCTTCTACTATGTTCCCTAACCCATGTAACTAAGGGAAGTAAAAAATCAGTCTACTAAGTGGGGCTAAGCTCAGGCTTGGAGAGGGCAGAACACAGTTATTTAAAAGCAGAAAACAGTTACTTAAAAACAGTCTTTAAACAAATCATAAATATGGTACATACACAAAATAAAAATTTAAATATTGAAAGGTATAAGTGTGAAGTTAAAGTCCTCTATCACAAATCAACAACCCCAACAAACCTATTGTCTTACAGGTCATCAAAGTGTTCTTTCCTAAAACAATCTAAGATTATGAAAGCAAATATAAACACATATGTATCTCTCAAAACTATCATGGGCTTGGGCTAGGAGTATTAACTTCCCATTAGTAGAATCAAATAACTACATTTGGCAATACTGCGTCAAGTATAACAATTATTTTAAAAGATGGTCTACTGTGTAACAAGTATGTGATGCATTTTTAGAATTTAAGCAAGCCAAGGTAAGCCCTAGTAAAGATGTAGAGTCCAGATCATACCTTTCTCAAAACAGTGAGGTTGTAGGTAAAAAAACTTAACAGATAACTCACTTATACAGGAGAAAACTGAGGAGTCAGTGGGGAAGTTGATCCTCAGCTGTACAACTGTCACTCAGAAAACAAAGGCACTTTATTGCAAATTATTAAAGATACTGTATTTTCTAGCCTATTAAAATAAATGCTACCAAAGCCTAAGGGTTTCAGATGGATAAAAACTGGTCCAAAGAATTGTTGTCAATCAAAGAACTATCTTTTCTAAAGCTGCAGTGTCAGGATATGTTAACTATGCAGTTTGTTGAACTCCTTTGCCTAGAGATTAATTATATTATATCCAACTAAGATGTATGAATTGCAAACTTCTATTCAAGACAAATAAGCATGACTTTACCTCTGAAATCTCCTGGTAAAGACCAAGTGTAAAATCTTTCTCAAAGAAAAACAGCTTTTGAGATAGTTTTACCAAAATTCATGTTATTTTTTAAAAACCTAACCTGGGGTCAGGGAAATTAATAAAAAATTTTTTTAACTTACCAAGAAGTGAAACAGGCTGGGTTACAGGAGGGGTGGGCAGATTCGTGGGTGCAGCAGGTGGCACAGCAGAGCCATACATTTTCACACTGTCACCAGACTCAGCGTTTCCTCTAGCCCCAGACACCACTGTTGGAATGGGATTTCCAATAGATAAGTCTTTTGTAGTGTCTTCATTTATACCAGCGATAGTAGCTAAGGAATATAATTACATCAACATGTGAAGCTGAATAATTATTTTGTAGTGTCTTCAATTATACCAGCGATAGTAGGTAAGGAATGTAATTACATCAATTTGTGAAGCTGAACAATAATTTCCCCAGCCAAAATTCTTCTGCAAGACCCTATTACTGGTTTACTTTCCCTCCTACCCCCAGTTCTAAGATGTCACGTGAACACAAGGGAAACATGCTTACAGTTTGGGATGCTTATTGGTGGAGTGTGAGGAGGAGGAATAGATACTGGTGGAGTTATAGGAGGTGGGGGTCCAGGAGGAAGAAAACCTAGAATAAAAAAAAAAATGTTAACATTTACTGCATCACTTAATTTCAGGTTCAAAAAGGATTTCTTTTCAAACAAATTAGCTATACCTGGCGGTAAATGCATTGGATTAAATCCCGGGCGCAAAAAGGGAGGTGGTGGTGGAGGAGGAGGAACACCAGGACCAAAACCTGGAGGAGGAATTCCCATGGGAGGCGTGAAAGTGGGTGGCTGCAGAGCTCCAACTACTGGAGGACCTGCCTGATGGGGCGGGACCTGGAAAAAAAGAAAAAATGAAAGTGTTCATCTACCCTTTGCCAACATTATGCACCCTGCATACGTGAGAAAATTTCACTGAAAAGATGTTCCTAAATTTGTTATTACACCAATAAGTTTATTAGATAAAAACAGAAGGTAATCTGCACCTGCTAGAAAATATGTAACTAAAAATTCTGCTCTCTCCTTTAGGGACAGGGCAAAGTCACACTGTACTTAATTGGTATCCATTAGAATTCTGATAGCAAATGATATAATTAAAAATGTTCCAAAGTCCAGCCACAGAATTCTGGAAAATACAACCCTAAGAAGAGCTATTTGGCAATATGTGTCATGCCTGAGCTCATATATCCTGTGGTCAAATTTCCTGTGCTGTCTTCGTGGCTAGCTGTATCAGGGCACAAGCCATCTAACTCTCTAAACTGAAAAGGTTTCAACCTCACGTATATACTAAATTCTACAGTCTGGCCCTTATTAAAACCCAATGAATGTGTGCTACTATTAAAAAATAAAATCATGGGCTGGGAAGGTGGCTCAGTGGTAGAGCGCTTGCCTTGCATGCTCGAGGCCCTGGGTTCGATTCCTCAGTACCACATAAGCAAAAAGAAAAAAGCCGTAAGTGGCGCTGTAGCTCAAGTGGTAGAGTGCTAGCCTTGAGCTGAAGAGCTGAGGGACAGCGCCTAGGCCCAGAGTTCAGGCCCCACGACCGGACCAAAAAAAAAAATCATATGGGACCTCATGGTTCATGCCTAGCTACTTAGGAGGCGGAGATCTGAGCATCATGCTTCGAAGCCAGCTCTGGCAAGAAAGTCTGTGAGACTCTGTAGTCTCCAATTAACTACCAAAAAATGTCAGAAGTGAAGCTGTGGCTCAAGTGGCAGAGTGCTAGTCTTGAGCACAAAGAGCTAAGATAGCACACAGGCCCCAAGTTTAAGTCCAGGAATGGAACAAAAAAGTAAATAAAATCAATTAGAACAGATCAGTTTCCTTTAAGTGAGTCCCAATATAGATAAGTCAATATGGGGAGTTTATTTGTAACAAACAAAATTAAAAAAAATATACCTAAATCGCCAAGTGCTGATGGCTTATGTACTTCTAGCTACTCAGGAGGCTAAGAACTGCGGATCTGATCCTGCCAGAGCGGGCAGGAAAGGCTGTGAGAATCTTATCTCCAATTCCATCAGAAAACCAGAAGTGGCACTGTGGCTCAAGTGGTAGAAAGCTCCCCTTGAGCTGAAGAGCTAGGACACAGCACCCAGGCCCAGAGTTCAAGCCCCACCACTGACAAAAACAACAAAATCACACATAAATATGTAACATGTAATTTTCCCCTTAGAATAAGAAAATCAAGTGCATAGATAGCCTACTTTTGTCATAGTACATAGGTTAACATAGGTTAAATATTTCTAAATTTCATCAAAAAGGTTTTATTTTTCATTATTTCACTCAGGCTGTACTCAATAAATATTACACCTCACTGAATCCTTAGAATAGCATAGGAAGAACACTATAGCCAAGGCTATGACAGAGAATTTGTATATTCTAGATAGTAAAATGAAGCCCAAAACTTGTCCAATGCCACAAGGCTGAGTAAAAACAGTGGAGCTGGGATCAAACCTAATTTTACTACTCTGTATCCCTTAGTTTGAAATAAACTAGTTTGACTAGACAATGAAGACTAGAAATATACTTCAAACACTGAATTATATTCCATTTATTATATTGCTTTCAATTATTCACTTAAAAAAAGGCCATGGGTAAGTACAGTAGTGCAAACCTATAATCTCAGCATTTGAAAAGACAAGAAAGTAGAACTTCCAGGGTGGCCTGGAAGGCCTTGTCTCAAAAAAATAAAATAATGGTATCGCTTAATAATCTTGTTTTAGTAACGTTTACGAAAAAAAGTCACAGTATATTCACAAGCAACATAGGTAATATACAAAACTATAAAAAGCATTATGTATTCATACATAAAATACATTTATGTATTCATTTTTCTATTATGAATCTAGATATGATGATAGTAATATTTAAACAGGGTTCTTTCAGACATGTGAATTTTATTTCAGTAATGTCCCACCTGTGTTCTCACCTGTGGAGGTGGCACTGTTATAGGTGCAGGAACAGGAATAGGAGGGACAGGCACAGGTAAAGGTTTAGGTATCGGGGACACTGGCTCTGTGTGTGAGGTTTCTGCTCCTCCATTTTGAGCCACTTCATTCTCAGGCTTCTTGGGGATTCCTTTCCAATCTATAAGAGTTAAAGAAATGTAACAACATGTTTATTACCATTTTTAGTTTCTACAAATGAAAAATGCTACAAAAAAGCAGCAGACTGATTACCAAAGAAATTCTTGTATTAGTCTTATAATTGCAATTAGCTAATAACAATATGTGAAGGTGCTTAAAATTGGCTCAGCAGTGTCTTAAACTTTATGTACACTGACTTATTTCTCATTACCGCTTGTTAGGTAGAAATTATTCTCATTTTACAAATTTGGAGATCAAAGATAACAAGCCTCAAGTTGTATTCCTACTAAATGGGAAAGATGTATTAGACTGAGACACTTCTATAGTCTGTATTCTAAAACATATGTTAACTAACTTTCCATACTTCTAAAAAATAACTTGTTCTATGTCCATACATCTAGTCAATTGAAAGTCAAAATTTGCTTTCCACTCCATATATCAGAGATTCCTCCACTCATCAGACTTGTCAAGAAACCCTCTATAGGACCATGATTCAGGATTTCACTGTCTGGCCTACCGTCTCAAGTGCTCAAAACATAGGAGGTCCATATGCCTTTAAATGAAAGGTATCTTGCATCATGGAAGGAAGTAGGATGTGGAACTAGTACAGCATTACCTTCTCAAACTATCTTTAAAAGTTCATTCTATGCTTCTCTCCTTGTTTTGTTGTCAAATGATATCACCATCAACCTAAAATTTATAGTAATAATTCACACCCAGAAATAACCAAACCTTCTGGTCTTTTATTTTGTCAGTTGTAGGCTTGAACTCTGGGCCTAGGCACTGTCCCTCAGCTCTTCAGCTCAAGGTTAGTCCTCTACCACTTAAGCCACAGCTACTTCTGGCCTTTTCTGTTTATGTGGTTCTGAGGAATCGAACCCAGGGCCTCATGCATGCTCTACCAATGAGTCACCTTCCCAGTCCCCAAAGAAATTATTATGAAGCAGCACCGGTTAAAATATAATACAAGGCTGACTAAATTCTTTCTCCAAAATGCTTTTGAATTTTAAATTTTATTTGTACAGAATTTACTTGTAGAGTATCTTTAAAATCTGAAATTTTTCAAAGCCTCAAAATTTTGACACTGAAATACGAAATTTTTTCTCCCCAAAACTTGAGATTTTGAATGCTATTAATTTAGGGATTAGAGATACTCATCTATTTGATCTGCTATGTTTTCATAATGAAAAACTCTACTTAAGATCTATAATTCTGTAATTATTTCACATATGTTTGTATTACTACCACTAGACATGTATGTCTGTCTTATCTGCTACAGTGTCCTCCTGTTTACAACAGTGATTGATACCCTTAAAAGGGTACTTTTTCCCAAAGTTTTTAATGTAAAACAAAAACACCAGACATTTCATTTGTCATGTAAACTACACCAAGCAAATAAATAAAATATAAAGGAAATTAAACACTGCTTTACCTGGGTTGAGGGTATCACTGTCCAACATTCCTCCTTCACAAAAACTTTCCAGTTCTTCAGGTTTGACTTTATCCCATGGAATATAAGTAACACCAAGTTCTACATCCCAATACTGTTTATAATCTGCCTTTATTCCTTTGTTTAAGGCCCAGGCAATCTATTTCACCATAGGTGAAAACGTGGAAAGGAAAACAAAAGGTCATAGATCTTAAAAATTCACCATTTCCTGAAAATCTCATCTGAACCTGGACAGCAAGGGAACAATTTGGGTTTGATGTCCTAGAACTCAAGAGTTTTTCATAATAATACATAGCTACCCTAGCTGCACACTGGTGGCCTGCAATTCTAGTTACTCAGGAGGATGAGATCTGAGGATCAAAGTTAAAAGCCAACTCAGGAAACAAAGTCCATGAGATCTGTATCTCCAATTAAGCACCCACAAACCAGAAGTGGCAGGAACACTAGTCTTGGACAAAACAGGGACAGTGCCCAGGCCCTGAGTTCAAGCCTCAGAGCCTCAGGATTGGCCAAAATGAACAACGAAAAACAACAACTACCATATACTAGCATCTGTTCTTTATCATGTTCCCACTGCAGTCAGCAGTCAGCATACAACTTACAGGAAAAAAAGCTAGGGAGAGCAGGTGCCCTGTTCAGCCTCAGGTGCTGGGTGGACACCTATTTTCAAAATCTCTAAGAACCTAGTAATTATTCAACATCAGACAAAAATTTTTTGCAGTACAATAGGTGTTAGAAGAAATTCTTTACTTTGGTTCATCACAGGATAAATGCAAATGTACTTATAATTTTTTCTCTCTTCAGTGACTTTTTTCTTTTTTTTTCTTTGGGTCCGGTGGTGGGGTCTGAACTCTGGGTCTGAGTGCTGTCCCTAAGCTCTTCAGCTCAAGGCTAGCGCTCTACCACTTGAGCCACAGTGCCACTTCTGGCTTTTTGCTTGTGTGGTGCTGAGGAATTGAACCCAGGGCCTCAGTCATGCAAGGCAAGCGCTCTACCACTGAACCAACTTCCCAGCCCAATTCAGTGACTTTTTTCATTGTAAATTCTAGTGAGATTGAAATGAAATAGGTTTAAAAAAAATAAAAACAACCTAATATGGACTTAGCATTTTAATTTTGTGTCAAATAGTGGGATTACTTTTTCTAGGAGGTGATAAGTACACCCGCAAGTTTTATCTAAGCCCCAAATGACAATTTTTAAAAAGCCACATAGTTCCATATTAAAATTTAAAGAAATTAATTATAAAACTGTACCTTTATGGATTTTTGGTTCACTTTATAGTTTCCGCGGCTCAGTTTCTGAAGGGCACGATAGGCATCTTGCCTATGAACCATAACAATATAGGCACAACCCCTGGGAGGAATCATCTGCTCCAAAACATTTCAGCATTACAAAAGATGACAATAAAAAAAAAAAAGATAACAGTGTTAAGTAAACAGCCCTATGTTCTAGCCCTAAAGTCAGTCATCTATAATCTAAATTCAATTGTTCAAAGTGGACAATTTAAATGACTTTTTCATCTAAAGGCATTTGTTCCAAGTGTGGTCTCAATGGAGTCCTGATAAGTGTTTTAAAGTCTTTTCCTAGAAAAAGGTTTTAACCTTGGCTATCTAAAAATGAATACAGTGAATGCTAAATATTGACGAACAAATTAACAGGCAACCACACGTTCTATAAACTTGTGCAATTTTTAGGTCATATCTCAATTCTTTATTTTTCATAAAATGGCAGTCACATCTGTTCACTGTCATTAAATTGAATAAACACTCACATTAATTGATTCAATTGGACCAAACTCTTCCAAGAGACTGGCAACATCCTGCTGAGTAGTCCTTTTGTCTAGTTGTCCCACCCAGAGTGTAGTACTACAAACTTAAAATAAAATTACAATCATAAAAATATTCACATTTGACAACAAACAGAAATGAATCTTCTATAAGGGCATATGTAAGAGTTGGAAAAACTGGTTGTGAACTAGATAAACCTATAGCTATTATTAGCTATGAAAAATCCATCCAGAGAAGCAATAAAGCCCACAATCACCCTGCCAGTGAACTGTAGAACTACGAAATACAACCCAAGTCTCTTGATTACTAATCAACTAATTCAGTGTTGTTTACTAAGGCCATACTTTTATGATGCAGAAGTAAAAAATTTTGTAGAGAATTAAAAGTTGTATATATGCCTCAACCATTACAAAAACCATTTTTTGCCCTTGTGCTGTTGATAGTCCAACCCGTATCTTTACACATGCTAGGAAAGCACTCTAACACTGAGCATCATCAACTCATAAATTAAAATATTTATTTTCATCAATAATATGCCTAATATATCTTACTATATATATAGTCTAAATACATATAATGAGCTGGGCACCAGTGGCTCATGCCTATAATCCTATCAACTCAGGAGGCTAAGATACATGAAATTTAGGAGATAATGCAAGTTAAATATTCTTTTTTTTTTTTTTTTGCCCGTCCTGGGGTTTGAACTCAGGTTTTGGGCACTGACCCTGTACTTTTATTTATTTGTTTGTTTGTTTTTCGGTCACAAGGCCTGAACTCTGGGCCTAGGTGCTGTCCCTGAGCTCTTCAGCTCAAGGCTAGCGCTTTACCACTTGAGCCACAGCACCGCTTCCATCTTTTTCTGCTTATGTGGTGTTGAAGAATGCAAGTTAAATATTCTGAAAATGGGTACAGCTCTTTTTGCTTTTTGCTGTTTGTTGAATAAGGTCTTATGTAAGTAAACTGGCTGGAAAAACCTCCAGTTTATGACAGATGTGTACCATCACATACAGTTTTTTGTTTGTTGTTTTGGTTTCAGTCCTAGGGCTTGAACTCAGGGCCTTATCAGTGCTTAACAGGAGATAAGAATCTTATGGACTTTCCTGCCCAGGCTAGCTTCAATCCTAAGCCTTCTGACTTATTATGATTACAGGTGTCAGCCACAGCTACCAGGCCACAGTCAGCTATTTAACAGTTGAGAGGGAAGTCTCATGAACTTTTTCTGCTTAAATTGACCATGCCTTTAATCCTCCCAATCTCAATCTCCCATATGGCTAGGACTACAGGTATGAGTCATCACATCTGGCATAAACTGTTCAGTCTTTATAAGAGAGAAAAGTATACTTTAGGAATAAACATAACTATGATGAGAAAACACTTTAAATAAAACTCAAATATAGTTATAGCAGTTCTCTTATAGCTTTGTTACTGGACCTAAAACACTTTGAACCTGTAATATAAAATAAATAAAGGAAGTTTGAATATAAAAGTTGTTTACCACTTGCAGTTTCTGATTTGATATGAGGAAGACCTTTTTGTCGACGTTCTCTCTCTTTTTCTCTATCCCGTCTTTCTTGGGATCGAGAGCGAGGAGAATGTCGGCGTCTATCCCTGGACCGAGATCGAGACCGTCGATGCCGAGACCTCCGAGATCTAGAACTAGATCTCGATCGCCTCCTTTTTGGTGACCTAATATTTTTATTAGGAAAGACAATGATAGCACATGAAGAAAAATAATAGAAATATATTCACATATTAAGCTGAAAATACACAACTAGGTAATTCAATGTTTGAAAATTTAAGAAATCCAGCAGTAGTAAATTTATTTAGAAGATTTTTAACATGTCTGAAATTAGAAAACATGCAACAAGGCTGCCAGTTTATAAATATACGCTTATCTTTATTATACCTCTAGCCTATAAAATATTGTGTATTTTTAGTATTAAGAAGCTAATTTTAATAGTGAAAATTGTATCAGAAAGTTTTTTTCTAAAGGAATTAAAAAGTCTGAAGCCTGGCAACTGGTGGCTCACTCTTGTAATCCTAGCTACTCAGGAAGCTGAGGTCTGAGGATCACAGTTCAAAGCCAGCCTGTGTAGGAAAGTCTAAAAGACTCTCATCTCCAATTAACCACCAGAAAACTGGAAGTGGCACTGTGGCTCAAGTGGTAGAGCACCAGCCTTGAGCTGAAGAGCTCAGGGACAGCACCCTGAGTTGAAACCCCACCACAGACAAAAGAAAAAAAGGAATAAAGTCTGATTATAACATTACCAGAAAAAAAGATTGTAGCCACTTGTGTTGGCTGATAAAAGCTGTATGGCCTTTAAACATACCGCTGGCAAACATGTTCTACAAATTACCTGGATGCTGACCTAGATCTTGACTTTCTGTTATCAGGCATATGTCGCTTGACTTCTGGAATACAAGGCTGTTCAACTTCCATTTCCTTAAAAATTAAGAGAAAGGGAGAAATCATAAAGACAAAGGTAAAAACCTAAAAATGCTACTTTTTGGGTTACTAGTTTAATAAGTGGCTATCAGTGAGGAAAAACAAAGCACCTTTTTATATGGTTTATAAGGGTAGAAAAAATGCTTTCCACAACAGTCAACTAGACAATGGTTAAGCATCCTACACTCTTGCTAGTCCTTATAGAAGTTAGGAGTAGTAGGAGTAGTATTATGTGAATGAGATTATGTATTACATTCACATCCCATGTGAAAAAGTTGGAGTAAAATAAGACATTATGAGCTTAAGATTTCTCTTAAGAGTAAAGACAGCAAGTAAATAAGCAGCCATCCGCATATAAATTAAGGTGACCAAAAAGAGAATTAATCTAAGAAAACTCTACCTGTGGATGTGGCTTCTGTGCAAGTGGTTCATTTTGTGCCTGAAAAGAAGGCTGGAAACTCTGTTGCACTGGTGGTGTAGGAGGAATCACAGGTGGAGCCATTGGAGGAAACGGAGGTGCAGGAAGAAGTCCAAATCCTGGCATCTGTCCATTTGGAGGGAGTGGAACCTTTAATTTTTAAAGGAAAGTGTATGAAGCCAGGCGCCAGTGGCTCATGCCTATAATCCTACTCAAGAGGCTGAGATCTGAGGATTGCTGTTCAAAGCCAGCCAGGCAAGAAAGTCCATGAAACTCTTCAATCAACCATTTTTTTTCTCTTTGAAACAATCCTGGGGTTTAAACTTAGAGCTTTTCTCACACAGCTAAGATTATAGGTATGCCCTACTATATTTGTCCTTGATTTTCTTCATATGTTGAAGGCTGATAAAATCACTTTATATGTTACACCAAGAAAATTATTACTATCACCCTATCAACTTAAAAAATGGACTAGTAACAGATGATTTCTTGCAACTTTCCGGTTTGTTGTTGTTGAATAGGGGTTTGAACTCTGGGCCTCTTGCTTGCTAGGCAGGTGATCTCCCATTTAGGCCATAATTCCAAGCCCTTGCTGGCTTCAAGACCACAATCTCCTACCTCTGACTCCCTGTATTTATCAAAGGTGACTAGAAGTATATCATACCATGATGGCCTTGTTAATTGAGATAGGGTTCACTAGTTTTGGGGCTGTCCTCAAATTGTGATCCCCTTAATCACTATTTCCCAAGTAACTGACAGAATTGTGTGTACCAGACTTGGTACATATTTCAAACCATATTCTTACATGTTGACTGAGCCCCAATGGTTCATTTAAGTGGTATCATAAACAGAAAAAAAAAAAGACAGATTAGGAGGAATAGTATTGTCTCTACACTATTTTAACCAAATTATATGAGCATGTTACATTTACCAGCCTTGTTTCAATAAAAATAAAGTACAACTCAAAATAATTTAGCTTTCCAAAACCTTTATTGGAGTTGTAGTTCTACTTGGCCAACCATAAAACTACATATTAGAGGTCTATGAAGAGCCCAGAACATTCTATAGGGATAGATTCCATGTTATTAAAACTTAGCTGCCTTGGAAGTGTAAGGGAAGGCACAGAAAATGAGGTGTGAACAAATACAGCATTGGTACTCACTGGACATTAAGTTTAAAATGAACTATACAACTTGTGGGTGGGGATTAGAGGGAAAAACTGGGAGAGAAGGAGGCAGGGGTGACACTGTCCAAAAAAAATGCACTCATTATTTATGTAACTCTGTACATTTATAACAACAAAATAAACAGAAAAACACTCTAGTACCTGATGGTGCATTGGGTCTTGTTGCATTCCCATCATTCGAGTTTGAAACTGCTCCATATTTTGATGTTGTGCATAAGCTGGTTGTTGCATGCCATCTGCAGGAAATCCACTAAAAACAGGGAATAATATTATTCACTCAAAAGCATATACAATCCTTAACTATGTTTAGATTACAGAAACATCATGTTGTTCATAAGTCCTAACATTTTATTGAATCTTGTTAACCCATATACTCATTTACATGTCCACTATTACTTTCAACATAAAAGTCACTTTTTACTATAAATGTGATAGTGTACCCTCCCTCCTGAGGACAAAAGCTACAATGACTCCGTTAAAATTGTTTTGACCGCTAAATGTCCCTACGATTATTATGCCTCATAACTATTACCAACTTTGTGGAGAAATTAAAAAGAAACTCACAATGGTGCCTGTGGAGGAGGAGAGGTGGCAGCTGGTGTGGCTGAAGGAGGCGCAGGAGCAGTGGCAGCAGCCACAGCAGCAGCAGCAGCAACGGCAGCAGCAGGTGCAGCCACGGTAGGTGCAGGGGGCACTGCAACAGCAGGAACCACAGGAGTGATGCCAGCAGTATCCTCTTTTTTTGATTCTTCTACAGCTTCTGGCTCATCATCATAATCAAATCTGTCAAGCAGCTTCTAGAATAGGTATGTCAATATTCCATTTTAGAATTTAACTTTGAGTCACTGAACAGAAACTTTACAGAAACAAAACATGTTTGCTACCAGCTATAAACCACCGTGCTGTTGTGTGCAAACTCATGTTCCCATGTGTTCTGGAGAAGTTTGGTTCAAACATAAAACAATTTTTACACAAATGCCACTCTGAAAGATACAATTTATTATTGTTTTCCTTTTACAATAATATTGTTTCATTTTAAGCATTTTCAATCTTATTTCATAATTTAGCAGTATATGTTTTTCTAAAACCTTTCTCATGAAAATGGGCTGTACATGTTTTGACAGCTGTTATTAATGTATTACAAGTCTTACCCAATCATTATAAACATATATATGCAGATTAACCAAGAATATATGGCAAAGTAAAAGGAATGGCATAGGACAGTGTAACAAAGTTGTTTCGCTACCCATTCATTAGCTTCTTTCTAAAAACCAAAACTTTTCTTTAAAATACAAAAGTCAGGGCTGGGATGGTGGCTCAGTGGCAGAGCGCTTGCCTTCCCTTGTATGCATGAGGCAGTCCTGGGTTTGATCCCTCTGCACCACATTAAGCAGAAAAAGTTGGAAGTGGCGCTGTGGCTCAAGGGTATAGAGAGCTAGCCTTGAGCTGAAGAGCTCAGGGACAGAGCCCATGTCCAGAGTTCAGGCACAACTGACACAAACACACACACACAAACAAATCAATATATTCCATTGTTCCAAAAGTAATTTCAAAACTTATTCTAAACGAAAGTAACATACTGGACATCAAATAATGTGCTTTTGCAGATTATACAAATACTTCATCATCACAAAAAAACTTCAATAGCTATATTTTTTAAAATGTTGTTGTTGGTTCTGGGGCTTGAATTTTGGGCCTGGGCACTGACCCTCAGCTCTCCAACTCAAGGCTAGTACTCTACCACTTGAGACACAGAGTCACTTCAGGTTTTCTGGTGGTTAATTGGAGATAAGAGTCTCATGGACTTTCCTGCTTGGACTGGCTTTGAACAGTGATCCTCAGATCTCAGCCTCCTGAGTAGCTAGGATTACAGGCATGATCCACCAGCGCCTGACCTAGGTTTTTTTGTTTTGATAAGGAAACTAGAGTGATTAAGAACTATAACCAAGACTATATAGTGAGTAAATGGTAGAACCACCATGTGGACACAGGTCATTTTTTCTTCAAAGCACTGTCTTTGGCCACCAACAAGCAATCTTATTTCATACTGCAGTGGTAATCCTGTTTATGGATGTCAACCTCAACTTTCTAACATGTTTTTCTGTAGCATTTTGTCTGGTGACTGTGGTTCTACTTATTTGTACAAGGGAAAGCTTGTCACTGGACAACACAGTATATAGAACAAAACCAAGGTGCTATGAGATACAGCTAATTCTGTGTTTCTTTGACTCTAGACCAGATAATAGAAATCCTTAGTGTAAATTATTAGTTAATATTTTCTGAACACAGACTTGTTTTGTACATAACAGATTATTTAACAATCATGGCAACAATAACATAACCATTATTTTATAGTGGTAAACACTAACATTTAACTCAACATCAGGATAGCAGGTGACAGGAACCAAAATTAAAACTGGCTTACGTTTTCTTATAAAAAATAAACCTGCCAAGCACCAGTAGCTCATACCTGGCTCATCAGGAGACTGAGATCTGAGGATCGAGGAAGGAAAATCTGAGACTTCTTATCTCCAATTAGCCACCAAAAAAGCCACAAGTGGAGCTGTGGCTCAAATGCTAGCCGTGGGCTTTAAAAAAGCTCAGGGACAGTGCCAAGGCTCTAAGATCAAGTCTAAGCACTGACAGACACACAAAATATAATCTGTAGTTTAAATACATGTAAGGTATGTTTTTTAAAATTTTGTGGTGTATACATATTACTCTAAAAAGACTTGAAGAAATTGGGGGAAAAAACCCTGAAGTTTATCAAAGATAAACTTCTGGTGCTTCTGTGCAGACTCAATATCTATGAAAAAGCTAAAGTAGGTAATTTCTATTGACTAGGTTAAAATGGACTTTAAAGTTGGGCACTGCTGGCTCATGACTGTAATCCTAGAGACTGAGATCTGAGGATCACCGTTCAAAGCCAGCCTGGGCAGGAAAGTCTGTGACACTCTTTTTTTTTTTTTTGCTTATGTGGTGCTGGGGAATCGAACCCAGGGCCTCATGCATGCAAAGCAAGCGCTCTACCACTGAGCCACCTTCCCAGCCCCTCTGTGATACTCTTATCTCCAATAAACCACCAGAAAACCGGTGGTGCTGTGGCTCAAGTGGTACAGAGAGAGCTTCACTTGATCTGACGAGCTCAGAGACAGTGCCCAGGCCCAGAGTTCAAGCCCTATGACCAAGACACACACACACAACAATTTTTTAAATGGACTTTTAGTCAAATTCCATATATCAAACAACAGAATTCCTTGTTTTATGCCTGATGCAAATTAATAAATAGTAGACAGACCAGTTAAGGTATAACACTAAGGAAATCACAATTCAAATCAATTAAGACAGGAATACCCAAATACAATGGGGGATTTAATAAAGAATTTTTCTTCAGCTCACTTTTCTCTATTCTCAAAAAATTTCTGCAATATACATACATTTATAGCCAGGATAAAAATGACTTCATGTTGAAAAAGAAAAAAAACATGTCAAACCACAAACAACAAAATGAACAATAGAAAAGCTACAGGAGGGGTAAACCCCACCATCTGAAGTGTTAAAATAGACAGGAAGGGAATGTGAGAGGCATACCTTGTCAAATGCAGTCTTTTGTTCAGGTGGGGGGAAAGCAGCTTTTTGTTCAGGTGGTTGTGTAGGAGCTGTCTTTAACTGAGCCGTGATAGCCTGAACCTGAGCCATCACAGCATTGTCAAGAGCAGGAGACTGTGGTTTTGGTGGTTGCTGAAAAGTCTGAAGGATCTGCTGAAGCTTAAAGAATAGGAAAACTAATAAATGACACAACAAAATATAATCATAGAACAAAACAAAACAACTTAAGACAGTATGAATAATGAAATTAGTCATTAGCTGGGAAAACCAACTTTGCTAATGGTTAAATCTGTGAATGACTAGATGAGACAGTGTGAATTGCTTAAATTTAAAAATCTATACTGAAAAAACAATACCGACAACCTAAAAGATAACAGTTATCTTTAACTGTGTTAACAGTAAGTTTTCTTGAAATCTAGAAAAATTCAATCAAAATAATTATCAATCAGAAATGCTAGAATTCTGAGCAATAACACTAGGTAATTAAGTTTGTTTTTCATTTTATCATTTTCCTTACTGTATCCCTAAAGAACAAGAAGTTATTTAAGCTAAAAGGTACATACATTTCTCCCTCCAAAGAATTTATGAACAAGGAATGGGAAATAAGAACTGGCAACAATACCATACCCTGCAAACTATTTGATCTTTGAGTAGGTAGCTTACCTGTTGGCCTTGAGTTGTCTGAAAAAGTTGAGCCACAGCAGCAAAAGCATCAGAACTAGGCAACTGTGGTACAGCAGGTATAGAGTTTGGAGTAGCTTGTGGAGGTTCAGAGGAAACTTTTACTGTAAGTGGAGGTGAGCCTAAAATAAAAAGCAAAGAGCAGTAGGGCTTAAGAAAAATGTCAATGTTTATTCCTTTTTTGAGCTCCCTTCAAGTTTTATGGCTAAAATAAAATTGCACCAAATTTAATACATAGTAATATAGAGATTGTGGTTACTGAACTTAATACTATAGTAAGGATAAAAATGTCATATTTTCATTAGAAATAAGAATTTGATTGAGGGACTGGAAGCATAGCTCAGTCGGTAGAGCACTGCTAGCCAATGAGCAAAAGTGTCAGGTACTGAGTTTGAGCCCAGGATCTCAAACAAAACAAAAAGAAATTCAAGAAAAGAAAGCTGCATCTTCTAAGACATAAAGTTTCCTTCTTATGAAAAAACTTTAGTAATACAGATAGACATGAAATCTTTCACAGAGAAAAATAGCATGATTATCTAGGTTTACACTCTACTGTACCTTCATTATTGGTAACATTTTCTGCTACTGGGGCTGCATTACTGGTTCCTGCTGCCATGTCCAAGAGAGGCTGGATAATTTCAATTTTGAACACTCCATTTTTTTGCCAAAGATTTAGCACACGGACTATTTTACTCTGTTATGTGTAAAAAACATGAATATTTGCTGAAATATTTATATCTAACATCTTCTTAGAAAGTATGTTTTATAAACAAAGTACATCAGAATTACTACTCAGTTAAACTACTATAATTAGCCTTTCTAGAGTATGAAACAATCTATAGACCTGAAGAGTCAACAGAAGTATGCATGTGTATACACACACAATTATGTGTATATACAAATATGTATGTATGTATGTATATATGTAGGTATACATGCGTCCATGTGTGTATATGTGATGTAGGACTGGAACTCAGGGCCTGGGTGCTGATCCTGAGCTTTTTTGCTCAAGGCTAGCACTCTACCAATTGAGAGCCACAGGTCCACTTCTAGTTTTTGCAGTGTTTAACTGGAGATAAAGACTCTCATGCCCGGGCTGTCTTCAAACCATGATCCTCATAGCTCCTCAGCCTCCTGAGTAGCAAGGTTTACAAGCATGAGCTACCAGCACCCAACTAACAGAAGTATTTTATTTCTTGTTTTCACTGTAGTTTATAAGAAAAATCTATCAACGATCAAAAAATGGTTACCCTAGAGAAGTATATGAATCAAAGAAGAAATTTTAAATGTAAAATACTGAATTGTTAGAGGTACCATGTTGCTGCTCAGCAGATCTCTAGAAGGTATTCATCTCCCTAAACTGAATAGCTAGACTTGTTAATCTGATTAGCAACTCATTTCTCTCTGCACTCCACAATTATAACTCCATTCTTAGATTCTACTAATCATATTAAACAGGACAACATCCCTTGTATGAGGACCAATCTTCTCTGTATCATTCCAAGTTTGTGTATATGTGTGTGAATATGCTGCCAAAGCAAGCACCAACAATACAACCTTCCTAAGGGATTCATAAAAAAAACCCAAGAAATAAGCTGGGCGCCGATGGCTCATGCCTGTAATCCTAGCTACCCAGGAAGATGAGATCTGACCATCACAGTTCAAAGCCAGCCCAGACAGGAAAGTCTGTGAAACTCTTATCTCCAATAAACCACCAGAAATCCAGAAGTGGAGCTGTGGCTGAAGAGGTAGAGCGCTCACCTTGAGCTGAAGAGCTCAAGGACAGCTCCCAGGCCCAGAGTTCAAACCCCAAGACCGACAAAAAAGACACATGAAATAACCACTGTAATAAAAAACCTCCTTCAAACTCATATAAATTACAAGATTTTATCTAGTAATACAGTAAGTTTCAAATAACATACATTTAATGAATATAAATTTAGCCTTAAAATTATTAACAATACCTTATCTTCAGATGGACAAAGATATAAATATTGGAATGTAGCAGTTATATTTTTAGAAAATCTTGGCCCAAAAACATCTTTATCAGTTCCAAACTGATGACGAGACTGTCGCACAATTGAATCAATTACATATAATCCTGGAACCTTATATTCTGGTTTACACTGCAAGGAACAAGATGTAAATTCAGTACAAATAAACCAAAATTGTAATTTAACCCTTATTAATCTCAAATTTTGATAACCTTATGTAAATGTCACTGACTTCAGAAATTGCACAAATGTTTCAGCTATCTAACTGGCTAAGCTGTCAAAATTCCCAAGTCTATACATATTTCCATTACTTGATACTTCATAACCCTAAGACTTCACTTTTCTGATTCTTCTACCTTCTTCCAGAATAGGTATAACCCTTCTCTAAACTACGTTCATGAATATCCCCCTACAGCAATTCAACAATTTTCACCTTGCAAAATTATAAAGAGGTAATTTATCAACACATCAATTTAATCTTACTTAAGTACAGAACTAGAGAAATAAAAATTAGGAGAAGAGTCTAGCAAATTGGCAAAGCAGTACTAGAAACAGACACCTACATGCATTTCCGATGGTTGTAGAAAAGGAAAAGACCCTTTATGGAAGACAATATGGCAATAAAAGTAAAAGTTTAGCTGGTAACGCTGGCAGTTCTTGCTCTTAACTACCAATAAGCCTAAAGTGGACCTGTGACTCAAGTGGTAGAACACTAGCCTTGAACACGAGTGCTCAGGAGCAGTGCCTTGAACACTCATTCTCAGGGAAGAGCCCAGGCCTTAGATTCAAACCACAGGACTGGCAAGGAAAAAGTAAAACCCTATTCAGTTAGCAACTGTACATACAGAAATTTATTCTATAATGATTTATGCTATACTAAGATCCGCACTTTTTTTTCCTGTTATGTTTAGCTACTGAAGCATTTCCTATAAAACCTCTATTCAGCTGGGTGGTAAATCATGGTAACAAATAAAATGCAGATGTTTGTAGTAAGTTCAGTGGGAGAAGCAGTTAATTACCAGTACCCTCTCCAACTTCCTCTCAGAAATATTCAAGGTTTGAAATATTCAACGTGAATTAATGTCAATAGAATAGATGGGGCTAAGGGTAGAGTGGGCCCATCAACCTGAGGAAGGGTCCTAGGCTTATGATAAACTCTGTTGTGAGGACGATATCAAAGTTGAATGCTGAGCTCTTAATAAAAAAAATAAATTTAAACTAGTGATTAAAGAGAACATAAACTACTCTTTGATAACCTACTGTTTAGAAGCAAATAGCAAATATACAAATTATAATTTATAAGGTAAAATACAAACATAGGTCACAAATAAGGTAATAAATAAAATAATTACCTTTTTGATGAATTTTTCTACTATTTGAACAACATGCTTATAAAGCTGAAAAGAAAAGAAAAGAAAAGAAATTGTGGCCAATTCACACATTTCTATATTCTTTTCACTACAGAAAGACTTTAAAATTCATATAATTAAGAGGTTATCAAGATAATATTCAATGAGCCATGAGAAATAATCCAAAATCAACAGCTTAAAAAACTTTGATAACAAACCAAAGAAAGAAATTACCCAAAATAAAAACTACGAAGTCCTACCAAGCAGAAAAATCTTTCCTTAGATATTTAATCTTCATAAAGCAAGGTATTAGGCAAACCTTATGAACAGAATAATGAAATCATAACTAGGCAATACCATTTATGAAGTGGGTCTGGGTCAATTCAATGTGATCTCAGGTAATATATTTCAAAAAGCCCACATTTTATTTTTCTCCCCTTTTCCTTTTATAAGAAGGAAAGTAATAGCTGGTTTATGACAATAATTAAATAAAATTTAGAAACCTGCTTTGAAATGGCATATATATATATAGTATTATCATAAATTTTTAGCAAAAGCTAATCTTCCTTAATCTAGGCATTTTTTATAAGATAGTCTCATGTTTAACAACCTTTATAAAATTTCAGTAACATTCCTAAATTATCTATTTTACTCTTACCTTAATAGCTTTAATAGCAGCTTTAGTAATGAGAATCATCTTTGCTCTAGAAATAGGAGGTTTCATATCCATAAGTGAAAAGAGCTAAAAAAAGAAAAACAAGAAAGGAAAAACGGAGAAAAAAAAAGCTTTTAGAAGATAAGGTCAATTTTGTTATTCAATAAAAATATTTGTGATTTAACTAAGAGAATAAACTTTTGGAACTAAGTTTAACAATTTGGTTAACAAGTAAAAACTAGGAACTTTTCTATGTATTAATAAAGTTCATATTTAAAGAAAAGTGAAGAATATGAGGCAAAGATTTAAATATGTAAAACCTATAATAGGAAGAAAACTATAAAACTTTATCAAAGAACCCAAAAATGGTCTGAATGGAAGCAAACACACCTATTCTTGGACAGAATATGGTAATAGTGAGAATGACAAACAATACATAAGTTTCAATACAAATTTTACTATTTTAGAATTTTTAATAAGATTTTGAAATATACTTCAGAGATTCTATTAATCAATCTTTTGATTGTCACATTTCCATTTCAATCCAATAAATGCTATTATTTCAAAAACAGACCTTAGAATGCTAACCAAGACACCACACACCAAGAAGCTAGTCTGAAGAACAAGTCTCTTTACATGGAGTAAAACTAGCCCTACTAGGCAAAGATTCATAATTTCCATACTTTTCAAAACCATTAACACTATGGGACCACAGATACCAGTGAAAATTTTTAAAAAGGTATGTAATATACCAAATACAATCTATGTAAGAGGATCAGATAATCTTAAATGGGAAAATGTAGAAAATTTCTATAAATAATATTAAGAAAATGGGAGATACAACTAGTTACATAGAAATTGATTTTCTCAAATAAGACATTATTACTACTTTATCAATTACATTATTTAAAAACTCTTCTCTCAACACATGCTAAGCAGGGCACCAGTGACTCATGCCTGTTAATCCTAGCCACTCAGAAGGCTGAGATCTGAGGATCATGGTTCAAAGCCAGCCCAGGCAGGAAAGTCTGTGAGACTCATATCTCCAATAAACGACCAGAAAAACCAAAGTGGTGCTATGTCTTAAGGGGTAGAGTGCTCGCCTTGAGCTGAAGAGCTCAGGGACAGCTCCTAGGCCCAGAGTTCAAGCCCCACGACAACCACCACCACCACCAAAGAACACATGATAAGGGGTCCAACCGGGCATGCTTCTCCAGATAAGAAAACTTTAGAAACTGTTCCTTTGGAGAGGAAATAGAGAGAAAAGGAGCAGTTTCATAAACTCTTTATTGGTGGCTTAAGCTTTGAAACCACAGAACAAAGTTTGAGAAACTACTGTGAGCAATGAGGAAAGCTCACACGGTGTGGTTATTATGAGGGATCCTGCAAGCAAGAGAATTTGGTTTTGTAACTTTCTCATCCATGGCTGAGGTTAATGCTACCCTGGCTGCCAGGCCTCATTTAATTGGTGGGAGAGTGGTTAGGCCAAAATGTGCTATATGTAGCAAGAGAGGAGTCTGGCAAACCAGAGGCTCATGTGACTGTAAAGAAGCTGTTTGCTGGTAGAATTAAAGATAGTGAAGAACATCACCTTAGAAATTACTCTGAAGAACACAGAAAAATTGATACCATTGAGATAATTACTGGTAGCAGTCTGAAAACAAAAGAGGCTTTGGCTTTGTTACTTTTGATGTCTGTGGATAAAATTGTATTGCAAAATACCACATTATCAATGGTCATAATGCAGAAGTAAAAAAGGCATTGTCTAGACAAGAAATGCAAGAGGTCCAAAGTTCTAGAAGAAAAGGACGGAATTTTGGTTTGGGGGAAATTCTGGACCAGGACCAGGAAATGGATGCGGATATGGGGATAGCTATAGTGTGTGTGGAGGAGGCCCTGGAGGTGGCAATTTTGGAGGTAGCCCTGGTTAAGGAGGAGGAAGAGGAAAAAGAGGAGGACATGGTGGTGGAGGACCTGGCAATCAGGATATGGCAATCAGGGTGGGGGCTTCAGAGGTATTATTAGGATCCATCTTGGCGGTCCCAGGGGACCACGGAGAGGCAGGCACACACAGGAGAAAGATTATTATAAGGTTTAATATCGGGGCCACATCTCTCTCGGGTGAGGGAGCAATATGGCATTGGCCCCTATCCACGTGGGTAGCTCTGGGAGTAGTAAGCAAGATCCTTGCGTAGGTATGTCTGGGTGGAGAGTAGGAGTGGCCAGCTACATGGCAGAACTCTAGAGCAGGGAGGAGCTCAGGTTGGGTGGAGCTGAGGACGGGGTTGGGGATAATGCTAACAGTTATGACCATTATGGAAGAGGAAATTATGGAAGTGGAAATTAGAATGATTTTTGGAAATTACAACCTTCTAACTATGGTCCAATGGAGAGTGGAAACTTTGATGGTAGTAGGAACATAAGGGGACTTATATGGTGGAACAAACTATGGTCCAGGAGGCAGTGGTGGAAGTGGTGGTTATGGTGGGAGCAGCCAATAACAAGCTTCTTCCCATTTTCCATGGGCTTCACTGTATAAATAGGAGGATGAGAGCCCAGAGGTAACAGAACAGCTTCAGGTTATTGAAATAACAATGTTACGGAAGCTCTTATCTCAGTTATGCATAAATATGCAGATATGGCAGAAGACACCAGAGCAGATGCAAAGAGCCATTTTGTGAATGGACTGGATTTAATAACCTTCCTGTATAGGAAGGATTGTTTAAAAAAAAAAAAAAGCCTTTGAGACAGTATCTTTGATTTTTTTTTTTTCCCTGTCAGTAATGGGTCTTGAACTCTGGGCCTGGGCACTGTCCCTGAGTTTTTCAGTACAAGGCTAGCACTCTACCACTTGAGACACAGCACCACTTCCAGTTTTCTGGTGGTTAACTGGAGATAAGAGTCTCATGCTTTTCAAACTACAGGTTGAAAATCACTATTAGCAGATTGTGAAAATAAGCTTAATGAGTAGTAATATAACTTTTATAATGGATCTAAATTAAAAAAAAAACCTCGAAAACATTACACATAATAGATGTTGCACATTAACAGGGGCAAATACAGTTATCCTATAGTGAAACTGGTTTTAGCATCCTCAAATGAAGATACTAAAGTACCTTATACAAAATGGCATAGATCAGGAGGCTGAGATCTGAGGATCACAGTTCAAAGCCAACCAGAGCAGTAAAGTTCATGAGAATTTTATCTCCAATTAACCACCAGAAAACCAGAAGTAGAGCTGTGGCTCAAGGGTTAGAGTGCTCGCCTTGAGCTAAAGAGCTGAGGGACAGCGCCCAGGCTCAGAGTTCAAGCCCCATGACCAACCAAACACAAAAAATAAAAAATGGCATATAATTTGCATGTAACCTTTGTCCATCTTCTATATTCTCAATCAATCTCATCACTTACAATAATACTTAATACAATGTAAATGCTATATAAAAAGGTGCCAAGGTACATCTCTAAGGAATAATAACAAGATGGAAAGACATCTTTTGTACATTCCGATGCATCGATGAAATAAAACTCTGCAGTACATAAATGAAAGAGAAGTAAACAATTTCTGAACAAGGAATGTTGGGAAGAGTCTCTGAAATGATGAGAGGGCCCAAGAGTATGTCTGAACATCATTTCATTCATGTGTTTGGCATATGGCAAATTTAAGTCTTGCTCTTTGGAACTTCCAGAATTTTTGTCCTCAATATCTTTGGTCCAAGTTAAATCTGTGTATATGAAGAAACAAATATACTATTTTGTGAAACTTAAGTTTTGGCTGGGAGTTCATGTATACAATCACCAGAGTCTGATGTAAGATTTAATTCTCACATGAGGATCATGGTTAAAAAATATGGAATCTGGGCTGGAAAGGTGGCTCAGTGGTAGAGCGCTTGCCTTGCATGCATGAGGCCCTGGGTTCGATTCCTCAACACCACAAACAGAAAAGGCCAGAAGTGGCACTATGGCTCAAGTGGTAGAGTGTGCCCAGCCCAGAGTTCATTCAGGCCCCACGACAGACAAAAAAAAAAAAAAAAAAATGAATCTACATACTGTTATTTTTCCCACTGCTGGATATTCGTATTTTCAATAATTTTGTATTATAAGAATACTGCTACAAGTATTCTGAAAAAAATTATGAAAGCTACTTTTCAGAGAAAAGTTCTTTTGTTTTGAAAATAAGGAAAATATGCCCAAAGTAACCACAGTTTATCTTTCTTTTTTTTTGTTGTTGTTGGCCATGAGGCTTGAACTCTGGGCTTGAACACTGTTCCTCAACTAGGATTACAGGCATGAGCCACCGGTGCCCAGCCAACCACTGTTTTTCAATGCAGTGTTTCATTCAAACGAATAATAACTATGAAAAACAAAACCATAAAAATTTAGTTCTTGACCTAGTTTAGAACACATATAGTAATAAACACAAAGAATCAAGAGTAGCTGGGTGCCTGTAATCCTAGCTACTTAAGAGGCTGAGATCTGAGGATAGCGGTTCAAAGCCAGCCCGGGCAGGAAAGGGCAGGAAAAGTCTTATCTCTAATAAACCACCAGAAAAGAGGAAGTGGAGCTGTGGCTCAAGTGGTGCTGTGGTTCAAGTGGCCTTGAGCTGAAGAGTCGAGGGATACTGACCAGGCCCAGAGTTCAAGCCTCACCAAAGACAAAAAAAAAAAAAAGACAAGAGATGAAATGATCATTTGGACTCAGAATGAGTCCAAACAAATCTCAGGGGAAGAAAAATTCCAAGGGGAAAAAAACTACCAGTTTTCTTTATAAAGTCCTCAAACCAGAAATCAACCTCAAAACTACAAAATTTCCTAGTGGAAGAAAAAAAAAAAAAAACACCAGAAATTGTGATATTCTGGACAAAGACCTGGTTTTCAATGAGTCCAACCATGTAGATGATTTTAAGATCTTATACTATAGCTCTCATTTGTATGCTAGTTGCATTATTATTATTATTTGAGTCTTTTATAGCTCCCCCGCCCTGCCCCCAGCTAAGGACAGAACAAGACCGAACTCAGGGTCTTACATTTGCCTGAGCTAAATCCCCAACCCCAGTACTCTCATTTGTAAAGCGTGTACTTACATCTGCTTGAGAGAAATTTTAGTGAGAATTAAATGGCATTTTAGGTAACTTAACACAGGTTAAGTTACAATATAACCATTATGTACAGTCATGTTGACTGTGGTTTTTTAGTTTCATAGTTACACTGTTTACCCGCCCTTCATAAAATTTTACTTTGACATTCAGACCACTAGAGTTTGGTTCTGAAAGTCTTTTCAATCTATTATGTAGCCTGTAGTGTGATTGTTATTTGAATCAGCTTATAAATTTCATAAACTTATAAAATCAAAATAGGACCTATAGAATGAAATTTTCTGATCATTTATTAACAGCTAAAATCCACTCAACAATACTGTTTGTTATCTTACTTCCTTTTCTTATGTATTCATGATGTAGTCATAGCCAGCATCTTCCTGAAAAATTTATAGTGTATTCTCTTCATTAGATATAACATACTTAACCAAAAAGAAATTTTTATTTGTTGTTATAAATTGTTAGTGAAAGTGTTGTTAGTATTTAGCAATTCCTAGAAATTCATTAAGGCAGAACTGGCAAAGATGAAAATGAATTGGCAGAGTTGACAGTTTCTTGAATTTGCATTTCCCTACTTCTATCAAGGCAATGATCAGTAATTTTTAACCTTTGTTACACCTTTATTTCCTTTCTGAATCTCTGAATGGATATTTATTCCTACTTTTTCCTTAAACTTAAAACCAATTATTTTTCTTAAAACTTATTTTAAAATTAATTATACTGATTGTATCTAGTTTTATTCTTTTGCTTTTATGACACTAAGATGACAAAGCAGAGGAGGAGAAGGGAAAAAACAAATTGTTTAAATAGGGATACAGGTTGACCCATTGCAACAATGAGAAGTACAAGACACTATGTTGAAAAACGAACTTTACAATTTTGGGGGGGGGGGGGGGAGGAAGGAGGGGAGATGTAGTTGAGGAGGTGCCAGGGAAGAGATGGTAGGAGAAAAACAAAGGAGGCAATAATGCTGATAAGAAATGTACTCATTACCTTGATCATGTAACTGTAACCTCTCTATACAGTATTTTCACAATAAAAAACTTATTTTTTAAAAAAGATCCAAAGCATGGGGCTGGATAGGTGGCTTAGTGGTAGAGCACTTGCCTTGCCTTGCATGCCTGAGGCCCTGGGTTCAATTCCTCAGCGCCACATAAGCAAAAAGGAAAAAGCCGGAAGTGGCGCTGTGGCTCAAGTGGTAGAGCGCTAGCCTTGAGCTGAAGAGCTGAGGGACAGCGCCCAGGCTCAGAGTTCAGGCCCCACAACCGGACCCCCCCCCCCCCCAAAAAAGATCCAAAGCAAATTTTCCTGAAGGCTTATTAATACATAATTGCAAATTAAAAAAATAGAAATGTTTTAAGAAAGACATATACTTACAGTGACAAGAAGGTACTCAATCTCCCTCCTGTGTAGAAATGATACCATCTGGGTTTTTCCTTGTTTTTAAACTACAAAGCTACAGTTCTTTCTTATATTTTGTTTTCAGCCGGATGCCTACTACCTTATTTGAAATAATTTAAGCTGATCACCAGCTTCCTCATGTATGAAAGTAAGCTAGATAAAATAACTTCTGAGGTCAGCTAACATTTTAAAGTTATATGGCACTGTGATGGAGTACCATCCTCAGAAACTGAATGTTACTTTTAAAGGATTTTGTAGCTTACTATGGAAATTCCCTATTACCTTGCTTCCTCACAAATAATGCTCATTAAAAAAACACAGAATTCACTCTTCAATGATTTGTATATTTACAAGTATGCATATATCCATTTTAAAAATGTGTGGGTACTGTACTCCTATCCATATAAAAAATACAAAAACAGAAGCTGGGCGCCAATGTCTCACTTGTAATCCTTGCTACTCAGGAGGCTGAGATCTGAGGACTGCGGTTCAAAGCACCCTGGGCATTAAATCTATGAGACTCTTATCTCCAATTAACCACCAAAAAAAACTGGAAGTGGCACTGTGGCTCAAGTGTTAAGCGTGCTCACCTTGAGCAGAAGAGCTCAGGGACAGTACCAGGCCGAGTTCAAGCCCCACAACCGATGACAACAATAACAAAAAACAGAAAAGTATATGAAAATGTTTGTTACCATTTAGGAATCATAAAAAAATTAGGAAGTCTTTAAAATATTGCTCTTATCTCTAGAAATTCTAAAGCTATATGAAACTATTGTCAAGTTTTATTTTTGCCTTGCTACTATGTTCCTATTATCCCATGTTTTTGTTTAGAGAAGTGCAATAGTTGGACAAATTAAAGATGGTTACATAGTTGCTGACTTCTGATGGTATGACTTAAACTCATCCTGGTTTTGGTAACATTATTCAATACATTAAACAAAATTATTCAGTATTTTAAGAAATAATAGGCTTTCTGTTAGATGATTTTTTTTTTTTTGAGGAATGGAGGTAGATAATGGTATTGGGACTTGAACTCAGGTCCACGGTGCTCTCTCTTAGATTTTTTTCACAGCTCTATCATATAAGACACACTTCTGCTTCTGGTCTTTTTCTGGTGAACTGGAGATAAAATTCTCATACTTGCTGGCACCAGTGGCTCATACCTATAGTCCTAGCTACTCAGGATATTGACATCTGAAGACTGCAGTTCAAAGCCAGCCAGTCAGGAAAGCCTATGAGACTCTTATCTCCAATTAACCACTAGAAAACTGCAAGTGGCGCTGTGGCTTAAGTGGTAGAGTGCTTGCCTTGACCTGAAGAGCTGAGGGATAGTGCCCAGGCCCAGAGTTCAAGCCCCAAAACCAGGAGAGAAGAGAGGAGAGGAGAGGAGGGGAGGAGAGGATAGGTGTACTACATGCACTTTTGTCGAGATAAACAGGTGTATCATGATGCAACCTCATTGTGCTAAGTTGAGGAAAATAAAGATTAATGTAATAATTAAATGTAGCTGATTCTTTCAAAGAGACAGAAGCAAAAGTTGGCAACAAGGACAAACAAACAGCAAACTTAGGATAAGTACATTTCACAGAAACATTTGTTGGAAAAAAAACAGGATGGTTCTCAGTATACATGGACTGATATAGTTCAGATTTATTACACAACCTGGACTACAAAACCAAAAGAATAGAAAAATTAAGCATGTCAAGAAATTTAATGCTGGAACTGTCAAGTAGAACAATCAATCACTGGATATTAGACTCCTAGAAATCACAGGGGAGGCCATAATTTAAAGAATGACTTGGGGCTAAAACATTAATTTTGGATTAAGATCAAAATTGATTTTGAATACATCATTGCTGTCTATTGAGCATCCTTTCAATTTGGTAAACATCTCTTGAAGACTTATTATATGAACTGAAAGGCCTTACATGTAAAAATAGTTTGTTTCTTCTAGTTTTTATGCTATTCTCACTTTAAATTTTTTTTTTTTTTTGGGTCCGGACATGGGGCCTGAACTCTGGGCCTGGGCACTGTCTCTCAGCTCTTCAGCTCAAGGCTAGCGCTCTACCACTTGAGCCACAGCACCACTTCCGGCTTTTTTCCTTTTTGCTTATGTGGTGCTGG